GGTGGCACCTGTCCCCTTGCGCTGCCAGCTGCTCTCCTCAGGCCTGCCGTCCAACAGGACCCCTGCTTGACCCTGGCTGTGATGGAAGGACAGCTCTGAAACAGGCCCAGAGACCAGCACCCCGCCCGGGCTCACAGGAAATGATTACTCAAGTCTCCTAAATCCCATGCCCAGGCCACTGGAGAGGGTCACCCTGGCTGTGTGCGAGAAGCCCAGAGCTGTGCAGGATTCGCCCTGCTCAGGCTTTCTTGGTGGCCAACTCAGGCTGACGGGCTCCTAAGAGGGAACCCAGTGAACAAGTCCAGGAGCCTTCCAGCTCTGCAGCCTGGCCTGGTGGTGCGTCCAGGAGCTATGAGCAAGGATGCATGAGCAAGGGCGGATCCACACTGGCCTTGGGCGGCTGGTGATAAGGCCCAAGGGCCACACTTGGGCAGCTCACAGCAGATGGTCTTAGCAGTGACAGAGGTCAGCCAGCCCAAGGTCAGGGTGACTCAGGGCGGATAGGGTTGCACACATCCTGCCCCAGGAGCTAATTCTTCACATAGCCCAAGTCCCAGCCCAGAGAGGGGTGGGTCCCGCACTGGGCAACGCCCTGCCTGGGGCAGGCCTCATGGAAAGGGGCTGGGGAAGGGAGCATCCCCCAGGCCTGAGGAGAGAGGATGGTCAGTTGGAGGCAGGGGGCCACAGCTCTGGGCACCCAGCCTACCCTGGCCTCAGTTTCTCCAGTTTTAAGTGGGGCGGTTTCAGAGAGCAGAGACAGGGTGGCGAGGGCGGAGAGCTCTGTGCAGGCCACACTGTGGGCCGGGGAGCCCCGTGCTCACAGGCTGGCGGCAAGTGCCTGGAAGGCCTTACTGGGCAGAGCGCTTGCACCTTCTGCGGGATTACCCAAGGGGTCTGTGAACCAGAAAGAAGGTCAGGAACGCTCGCCACATCTCGCCTGCCGTGGGGTCACGCGCTCTGTGAACCACCCCAGCAGGCCTTGGCCCCAGGTCCCGTGATGAGGCGTGACCCGCTCAGGCGGCAGCCACACTTTCATGTCTGCTGGGAAAGCCGGATTTCAGTGCTAATTACAGAGCTGTTGGCTGTGATGCCGGCGCCCACTGGCACCTCAGGAACACTAGAGCCTCTGCCAGGCTCAGACGGCGTCCCAGCTACGATGGCTGGCAAGTAGGGACAAACTCTAACACTGGTGAGGGTTCCGTGGGCCTCATGGGACGGGCCTGTATGGAGAAGCAAGGTCCACAGGGGTGGACACCCTCATAGTAGAGGAGGCCAGCAGGCAACTCTAAGACTGACTCCTTCCATCCTTTCTGGTCCTCACCCCATGCCTTGGTGGCATCAAGTCAGTTGGCCGTGGCTAGTTCCATAGCCTCCAAATACCCATCTTATGTACCCAGACTTTCCAGGAGGGGCTGAGCAGCCAGATCGCCCAATGCCAGATCATCTAGCACTGGTACCCAGCACGGAGCCCAGAGCTCCAGGAGAAGAGAACCTGCCACTCACCTCTGCCAGTCCTCCCCTCTCCTCCTTTCTCTTTGCTAAAGGCATGAGTGAGCCCAGCGGCTACTTCAGGTCAGGAGAGACAGGAGACACTAAGAACCTAATGGCCCACAGCCTCACTGACGGCAGGATGGGCCATGAAACCCCTCACAGACAGGGGGCTTGAGGGGAAGTTCTCAAAACTGACCCATGTTGCTCCTGACCTGACACCTGGTGGAGAATGTTGCAGGTCACAGCTCCTAGACACCCACCGGTTAAGAGAGGCCACCAGCCTGTCCTGTGCTCATGAGGTGAGAGGTGGCAGTTAGGTAGCCGGGCTCCTGGCTCTGGGATCCCTGGTGAGCCTGCCCCTTTCAGCTGCCTGAGACCAGAGATTCATGGGGCTGTTGGTTGGCAATGCGTAAGTGGGGGTGGCTGTCACAGCAGGTAGTGTCCCATCCCCACCAACCAGGAAAGAGTGGGAGACTGTCTTCATTTGAGAGCCAGTCCCAGACCAGGTCCCCCACACCCACTTGCTTGGTAGGTGATCGTGGTGGCAGAGGGAACAGAGAGCCCCTTTGGATGCCTCCTTAAGAGCTCCCTGGGGGAAGGCGGCAGCTGCCCTGGCCCAGAGCCTGCCTGGAACCGCAGTGGATTCCCCACTGGGAGGCCTGATAACTGCCGGATCTAATCCCAGGATCTAATCCCAGCGAGAATCTCAGCTTGTCTCTGTGACTGAGAATCTCAGTTTGTCTCTGTGACTGTAGCTGATAAGATAAAATCCAGCATCACCTGAGTTCCAAGTGGTGCTACCTGTCGTCACTGCACAGTAAGGAACCCACAGAACCAACCCTTGTTCCAATTCCACATGCCACCAAGACAGCAGCAGAGGGGATGTCTCTCCCCCTTCAGGGCTGACAAATTCAAAGTGCTGTGAACGGGCTCAGCCCTGGGGCCCAGGCCAGGCCACAAGAGGAGCTTCTGCACTTCACCATCTGCAGGACCCCTCAGCGCATGGGGGCCACGCTGTTCCTTTTCAACAAGCGGAAAGAAACTTTTGAGGGACAGGATGGAGAGCTAGAGATCAAACGGCAAAAATGAAAGCTTCTCCCCAGCATCTGTGCCTTCTGTGTTGTCAGCAGAACCCTTGCCAAGGCAGAGTGAGGTGCCAGCACAGGTGAAGACCCAGATGCCAAGGTACGTGCACCACAGTGGAGAGACCCCAGGAAGGAGGGGCACAGAGTACCCTTGCTCTTCCTAGGGGGAACTTGCAACCCTCCTTTACGGGGCACCAGGACGCACTTCCACAGGGGTGTCAGGCAGGTGCTAGACAAGGCTGTCCTGCAGACCCCTCCCTTTGTCACTAAAAATCCTCCTTCCATCAAACACCAGAGCAACTCACACATACCCTGCACGCAGGTCAAGTGTCGACGGCTGATGGTACATGAGGCTGGGCCTACTAGTGGAGGCGTTGCTAACTGACACCAGCCCCTGCTGCACCCCAGAGGGTGCAGGGCAAAGGCATTTCCACCAGCTCACCCTAAGGCTTCACCTACTGGGGCCACAGAGACCTGTGAAAGCTATTTAGAATCTATTTCAAAGCCCTGTATCACAAAAGACCTCCAGGAACACCTGGCGGGGCAGCCTCCTGGGAAGGCACTGTGGCCATCTATGCCAGGAAACCCCAAATGCTGAGCACACCTGTGCAGTCCTACGGCTGCTCTGCAGCTGAAAAGCAGGAGCTGAGAGCTGACCCTGCGTACTGATCTGGAAACCCTGCACTGTCACTTCAAACTGAGTTGTGCACAATGATCCAACTGAGATTGAAAGAGTAAGTGATTATGTTTATGGCTGAGAAAGCTCCAGAAATATGCACTGTTAGCCATGGTGTGGTGGGCGGCTGGAGAAGGAATTTGGACCAGCAGTCAGTTTGACTCGCCGCACATTGGTATGGTCAAATTTTTACATGGTCACCTATTCATATATTCATCCTTTATTAGAAAGAAGACTTCAGAAAACCTCCACCCTAACTGCCCACTAGGCCAAAGCAGCCTTTCCCACAACTTGCCAGCACTGTCAAAACTTCCACTCGGCTCCCAGGGTCCATCTTCCCAGACAAGAGAGGAGCCCTTTAACAACATTACCAACCAGGCCTCACCAAGACACACTACCTAGAAATGACATGACTGGACAATTAAAATCCTCCTACAGACAAAACAGGCAAACAAAGTGTTCTCTGCTAGAGGCTGGCTCTGTGCGCACACAGCACACAGCACAGCGAGTCACCCCAGTGTCTCCTGGCCCACCCAGAAGTCACAAGCTCCCTCAGCTCCCATCCAGTGCACCCTACTTGGCCTTCCCATCGGGCTCTGGGTGCTGAGCCCCACCTTCTGGAGTCAACCCTCCACCGCGGCCTGGTCCTCTCTTACCTCAGGAAAGCGTCGGATCCTAGAAGCCCGCACAGCCCACTGGGTTTTTGCCTTCTGCATCTTGAGTTTATGGAGTATGTGACTAGAGAAGAAATGGTCTCCAATTGTAGGCTGCTCAAGGCTGCCATGGGATGAGCATGAGTGGCCCAAAGCCAAAATATACAAGTTGCATATATGTGTGTGCGTGTGTGTATGGCATTTACTACGCAAGATTTCTTCATCCTGAAACCCCACAAGAATACTGTCTTGAAAAGCAGCAGTCCTCTCTGGCCCACTAGTATAGTGCCCACCAACATGATAAAAATGCCCAGGGCTGGGGATGTGGCTCAAGCAGTAGCGCTCTCGCCTGGCATGCGCGCCCGGGTCCGATCCTCAGCACCACACACAAACAAGATGTTGTGTCCGCGGAAAAACTAAAAATATTAAAAAATTCTCTTTCACTCTCTCTTAAAATAAATAAATAAAAGCCCAGTGGCTGTTTCTTGGCAAACTTGGGACCCCCTAAGCCCACCCAACCCCAACACACAGATTCAGTGTCAGGCCACCTTCAGAGGAACTCAACGCGGCTGCTCAGCCTAATGAGCACTCTAACTACACACAAGTTCATTACTACGCTTTTCAGTGAGTCAGCCTGTGCACCGATTCCTGACAGGCTGGTCTGGAAAACATGAAAAATGAATGATTTCACTGCAATTTCCCTCTTGACAACCAGTCTGCAACTGACGCTGAGAAGGAAACCAGTGGTTCACTCACTCCACGTGGTGCCCTCAAAGAGGCAGGGCGCACTGCTCTGCGGGGCCCGGGAAGGCTGGCGCTGCTGGAACTGCTCAAGTCCTAAGGGATTAGGTGGGGAGACCGAATGCCCGCTGGGGGTCAGCGCGCAGGCCCCGCTGTCAGAGGTCTTCCCAGGCCGCCCCAGAGTGTAAACGCACGCGGGTTCACGGACCAGCGACTTCGGGGATGGGGTGCTCCAGGTTAGGGATACCAGGAGCCGGGATTGGGGAGCAGAGATGCAGCGTTGTAGGAAGCGATCCAGCGGCCCCGGGACGCAGGGGCCCGGCTCGTGCCCGCCCGCCGGGGCCCCGTACTCACGCACGCAGAGGCAGGCCACGAGCTTGGCGGCCTCCTCCGGCACGGGGCAGGTGGGGAAGAGCGGCTTGAGCAAGTAGGTGGCGAACACGAGCGCCACGATGTACTGCGAGGACGGCCGGATGATGAGCAGCTCGATCCAGAGCTTCAGGAAGGCGGGCAGGGAGCCGTACACCTCCAGCATGTAGGCGTAGTCGCCGCCGGACTTGGAGATGGTGGTGCCCAGCTCGGCGTAGCAGAGCGCGCCCACGATGGAGAAGATGCCGCACACGGCCCACACCACCAGCGCCAGCCCCGGCGAGCCGGCCTCCTTGAGCACGCCCGTGGGCGTCACGAAGATGCCCGAACCGATGATGGTGCCCACGATTATGGCCACGCCGTTGAGCAGCGTGATGTTGCGCTG